AATAATTGAATCATCTGTTTAGTTTTATATGTTGTTTTAGCTTTCCTTTGATAGACACCCAGACTTGGTTAAAAGATGGCAGCTATATAAATATTTGATGATATAGCTGATGACACAACAGTGATTGGTCTCATTCGAGACAACGACAATCTGCATACAGACAGGAAGTTAGACAACTTGCCTCGTGGTGTAACCGGAACAATCTGGAACTGAACACACTCAAAACCGTAGAAATGGTGGTAGACTTTAGAAGAAACCCTCCTATACTACCACCTCTTACAATACTAGACAACACAGAATCAATAGTAGAGACCTTCAAATTTCTAGGTTCTACTATATCACATATATCACTCCTAAAATGGACACCTAACATCAAAAATGTCATCAAAAAAGCACAACAAAGAATATTCTCCCCTGATCCTTCTCTTTACTAGACTAACCAAGCCCAGTTCCTGCAACCGTTCATTGTATGTTTTAGCCTGCAGTCCCCTAATCATCCTGGTTGCTTCTCTGTACTTTTTCTAGAGTCTCAACATCTTTTTTATAATGTGGTGAACAAAACTGGATGCAGTACTCTAGGTGTGGCCTTACTAAGGCTTTATAGAGTGGTATTAGTAGTTCCCTTGATCTTGATTGTATCCCTCTGTTAATACAATTTAGGATTGCGGTAGCTTTTTTGGCTGCTGCTGCACACTGCTGGCTCATATTTAGCTGGTTGTCCACTCAGACTCCAAGATCTCTCTCACATTTACTGCTATTGAGCCTGGTTTCACCCAGTCTATATGTGTACTTTTGGTTTTTCTTGCCTAAGTGTAGGACTTTACTTTTCTCTATATTGAATTTCATTTTATTAGATATGGCCCAGTGTTCTAGTCTATCAAGATCCATCTGGATCTTGAGCCTATCTTCTTGGGTGTTAGCTATTCCTGCCAGCTAAGTATCATTTGCAAATTTGGTAAGTTCCCCTTCTATTCCCTCATCTAAGTCATTAATGAAGATATTGAAGAGTACTGGGCCTAAGACGGAACCTTGTGGCACCCCACTGCTTACTTCCCTCCATGTAGACTTAGACCCATTAAGGACTACTTGTTGAGTATAGTTTGCCAGCCAGTTGCGAGTCCATCTAGTGGTGGTACTATCTATTCCATTTTTTTCTAGCTTACTAAGAAGTAGGTTGTGGTCTACTTTGTCAAATGCCTTGCTGAAATCTAAATATATTATGTCCACAGTATTTTGCTGGTCTACTAATTTAGTCACTGTGTTGAAGAATGAAATAAGATTGGTTTGGCATGATCTGTTTTTAACAAACCCGTGCTGACTGCTAGTTATTACTTTACTTGTTTCTAGATGTTGGCAGATCTGTTTTTTTTATTATCTTTTCCAGTATCTTCCCAGGTGTTGATGTTAGGCTGATTGGTCTATAGTTTCCTGGGTCTGTTTTTTTTCTCCTTTTTTGAAGATGGGAACCATATCAGCTCTTTTCCAGTCCTCTGGTAGTTCCCCGGTGCTCCAGGATTTTTGAAAGATATGGTGCAGTGGTTCTGAGATGACCTCTGCCAGCTCCTTTAAAACTCTGGGATGTAATCCATCAGGCCCCGGTGATTTGTTTTCATCAAGATCAAACAGGTGTTCTCTTACTATTTTTTTTGCTTATTTTAACTTTTATTTCTGGTCTATCTTTTACAGTTATGTTTTTGATGGGTTGAGCTATAGTTTCTTTTTGCATGAAGATGGATGCAAAGAATGAGTTAAGCAGTTCTGCTTTCTCTCTGTTGCCTGTTACTTCCTTGCCATCTTCTCTCTTTAGTGGACCAACTGTTTCCTTTATTTTTTTCTTGTTATTTATATGTTGGAAGAAACTTTTTTTTTATTATCTTTGACTTTTGTTGCAAGTCTTTGTTCGTTCTGAGCCTTTGCTATCCTGACTTCGTCTTTGCAGATTCTGGCTATCTGCTGATATTCTGCCTTAGTTGTATGTCCTTTCCATTTTTTGTACTTGTCCTTTTTTTCTTTCAATTTGCCAGAGAGATCTTTATGTAGCCATGCTGGTTTCTTCTTGGATTTCTTGTTTTTCTTTCTCAGTGGTATTGTGCTGGTCTGGGCTTCTATGATCATACTTTTTAGAGTTTCCCAAGATTCTTGAGTTGTTTTCCCCTTTAGGATTTTCATCTATGGGATCTTTCCCAAGTTCTCTCTGAGTTTATTGAAATCAGCTCTTTTAAAATCTAAGACTCTGGTGTCATTATGTTCTGTTGCTTGTGTTTGTGTTATGTTGAATTCTAGTATGACATGGTCACTCTCACCCAAGGTTCCTGCAGTTTCAACTCCCTCTATCACTTCTTCTCTGTTTGTAAGAATTAAGTCCAGAATGGCTGTCCCACTAGTTTTACCCTCTACCTTTTGGACAACAAAGTTGTCAGCTAGGTTGGTTAGGAACTTATTTGATTTCTCACTTGGTGCAGAATTAGTTTTCCAATTGATATCAGGATAATTGAAGTCTCCCATTACTATTGTTGTGTGTTTCCTGCATGTTTGTTAGTTGGCTGGCAAAAAGGACATCTATATTTTCTGCTTGATTGGGTGGCCTATAATATACGCCTATGGCCATGTCATTCTTTTTTTCTTTTATATTGACCCATATGCATTCTAGGAGGTTTTCATCTTTGGTTTCATGCATTTCTGTAGCAATATAGTGGTCCTTTACATACAGTGCAACTCCACCTCCTCTTTTATGGGGTCTGGTTTTTTTGAATAGTTTGTATCCTTCTACCAGTATGTTCCAGTCATGGGTTTCATCCCACCAAGTTTCTGTTATTCCAACTATATCATATTTACCTTCATGTATTTGTAGTTCGAGTTCACCCTGTTTGTTCCCCAGACTTTGTGCATTTGTATATAGGCACTTGAGATCTTTATGTCTGACACTTGTTTACTGTCTACATAACCTGTGTTGTGCCTGCCTGTCCCTACTTTCTTGCCACCTGTTTGATTAGTGCACATGGTATGGCACTCACTATTAAATGCTTGGTTTTGGTTGGCATCAAGGTTGATAATCTTACCTGCACAAACATCTATTTTGCATGCACTGGTATCCTTATTAGTTTTAGGTTGCTGGGGACAGAAATGTTCTGAATCCATTAATTCTCTGTCCCCACTGTTCAGTTTAAATGTTTATCCAGGAAATCTGCGAATTTAATGCCAAGTAACTCAGTCCCTTTCTTTGATGGATGCAAACCATCTCTTTTGTACAGTTTTTCATTGGACCAGCTGCAGACATCATGACTAATAAAACCAAAGCCTTCCCTTTTACACCACTCCTTTAGCCACACATTAAACTCTGCCCTTTCCCTTTTTGTTCCTTGTATACTGGTAGAAACTCTGAAAAGATAAGCCTACAGCCCATATTACTAAGTTCATACCCCAAGCTCTGGAAGTCTTTCTGAACAGAAAATACATCCTTCTGATCATTTGTACCAAAATGTATAATAGCATCAACATCACAGCCCTTGCTGGCATTCTTGACTATCTTAAGAATACGCTTCTTGTCTCTGCTGGCAGTAGCACTTGGTAAACACCTGACTTCTTTCAAAACCTCAGTATCCTTTCCTAAATTTACATCCCTTACAATTGAGTCCCCAACCAGACGGTGGCTTCTCTTTTAGGATGCCTTGCTCTTCTTGTGTGTAATACCCGATTCACACTTTCTCCTTCCCAAAGTAAGTTCTTCTTCTAGGACCATGATCCCCAGCTTACTTGAGTTATCATTATCACAACTACCTTGACCGTCACTTTAGTGTCCCTATTAAGGTCAGCAAGGGCACTGTATATGTTATGCTGGGACACAGCAAAAGCTTTGTGTTTATGGTCCACAGCTCTTATCCTGCCAGATCCCATGGTTGTCCATATTGCCCTTTTCCTGTAGGATCTTTGTGGTAGTGGGGGCTGGTAGCACGGCAGCTCAATAGATGGCTGGATTGGGCACCTAGTTTCTGCTTGGAGAGCACAGATTAGAGATTCTAGATAGGTAATCTGTCCATGTAGACTGGTAATTTTTTTACAAAGAGGACAGTATCCAAGTTTGAAAAGAGTACTGTGAAAGACAGCTAACAAGTATTACACTGAACTAAGTCGGTCATTTTGAAATAAAATAAAATCACAATCTCAAGCACACTTACCCTAAATGTCTTATTGGTATTCTTGGTTTATAGTTATGTGACTATCTTTCTCCTTTCTACTCACCCTCTGCTTCCTTCACAAGCAGCCAGCAGTTCCTCCCACAACCTCTGGGAATTTGAAATGCAATGGAAGCAATTCAAACTGCCTCTCTCTTTTCTACTCACCCTCTGCTTCCTTCACAGGCAGCCAGCAGCTCCTCCCACAACCTCTGGGAATTTGAAATGCAATGGAAGCAATTCAAACTGCCTCTCTCTTTTCTACTCACCCTCTGCTTCCTTCACAAGCAGCCAGCAGCTCCTCCCACAACCTCTGGGAATTTGAAATGCACCAAGACAAATTCCTTGTGTGTCTAATCACACTTGGCCAATAAAGTATTCATACATTCATTCATTCATTAAATAAATAAAGCATTCATTCATTTTAAATAATTAAAATCACATGAATGCGGAGAAGCTACAATGGAAGAACGCCAAGGACACATCGTAAGTGCCCCTCATTCAGTGCTGTTGTAACTTTGAATAGTTATTGAATGAAAGGTTGTGAGTCAAGGACTAACTCTGTTTCCCTTTGGAGAACAGAAAATCCTGAAGAGCTAATGTGCTCATTACAATCTCTTGTTGGATAACGCTACAGATCTATTGTCTGGTTCAGAATCTGGTTTCTTTTATTGGTCAATGAGAGAGTTCTTGAAATGTACATTGTGACTCTTTTTTGTTACTTCCCAATGTGCAGTTATTCTACAATTGATTGGCTAAATGCTTTGTGTCCTCATCATTTTGGGATATCATTCTAGCTTATTGATTTAAGCTCTTAATACAACTTACCCACAGCTTGTTTCAAGTAAACTGTCCCCAACTTGCAATGATGCCATCCCAAAGTCTGCTATTCGGATATTGTTCTTTTCATCCAGTAGTAGATTTTCTGGTTTTAAATCCCTGTGGCTGTAAAGAGGGGGGAAAAATGGTGTTAATTCAAACCAGTTGCTTCTCTTTGCATACAGCAAAGTAGAAGAAAAAAAATAGAATAGAATAATAGCTTTATTGTCAGTTTGAATGTACACTAACTGGCATACATTAAAATGAAATTTTATTGCACACAGCTTTCAAAGGGTCACTAGCTCCAATATACACTACATAAACATGATAAAATAAATAAATATAGAATTGTGCATATACCCACATATATTATATGAGAAAAAAACAACACAGTCTAGTTCGGATGTATACATGTACATGGTGAGAAAAACGAATCTTGTGATCAGACGGATGGCATAGGGAACAAAGCTGTTACAGAATCGGGTAGTCCTGCTGGAAATACTTTGAAACCTCCTCTCAGAGGGGAACAACAGAAACGGACCATGAAGTGGGTGTGTGGGGTCTCTAACAATGCTTTGAGCTCTAAGCACAAAGCACTTATAAGCAGTATCCTGAATAACAGGAACCGAGCTTCCTATAATCTTCTGGGCTGTGCTTACCACTCTCTGAATGGACTTTCTCCCTGAGGCACTGCTGCCACCAAACCAAACAGTGATGCAGTTTGTTAAAACACTCTCAGTTGTGCTTCTGTAAAAAGTAGCCAGGACAGAAGGAGAAAGATGTGCTCTCCTCATCCAACACAGGAAATGCAGATGTTGGTTTGCACACTTCACTAAGGATGATGTATGGAGGGACCAATGCAGATTGTTAGTTATCTGCACCTCCAAAGATCACAGATCATTTTGTTTCAAAAGAAGCCATTATACGTTGCATTTACATTTGCCCATTTTGACAAATTAGAGAAGTCATATTACTTTAAAAATTTTAAAGAATACACAATATATTAATAGTGCCAACTTGTAATTTTGAAGAAGTAGTTGCTGTTATTGTCTAATGGAAGTAAGAGTGACCAACAATTTTTTAAAAAATATCTTTCACTTTTTGCTCCTTTCTTTCATTGGAATAATAATTAGTTTTTAATTGATTCAGAATCGAATTTGTTATGATAGAAATACTGGAAAGAATTTGTAATTTGGATATTTCATAAAAGTGGACTGAACATATTAAGCTTTTTGATTTGGGAGTCTGAATCTGAACAAAAAAAAATTAGAAGTTGAAAAACTCCAGACTAAATATTTTGTCTCTAATTACTAATTCTACTATCTGTCCTGGGTCAACACTCCAGGTCAGTTAGTCCTCCTTCTATTAATTAAAAAGGAGAAGCTAAAAAATATGGTGCCCCTCTCTGCAACAGTGCTTAGACTTATATACCGCTTCATAGTTCTTTTTAATCCCCTTTAAGCAGTTTACAGAGTCAGCATATTACCCCCAACAATCTGGGTCCTTGTTTTATTGACCTCAGAAGGGGAGAAGACTGAGTCAACCTTGAGCCTGTGACAATTGAACTGCTGGCAAAATTAGCTTGCAATATACTGTATTCTAACCACTAAGCCACCACTGCTCATTACTGCTCCCTACTGAGCAATGATTAATGCTCTCCCTACCCCAGCATTTGTGCATTCTATAATCATTCAAACAAGATAATAAATACTAAATTGTGATTTAACATTAATCATGAATGGTACTTTTGTTCCAAAGTTTGTTTTTGTAGAAAGACTGTTCATCCCTTCGCAACTTTGGGATAATCTAGATATTATTGCTTTGCTCTATTTCTCCTAGTTTGGTTTCTCTATTTATTAAATGATTCATATCCCATCCTGTTTAAAAGACTCTGGACAATTGACAGTCTTCACAACAGACTACTCAAATAGCACAGTAAGCAAATGAAATATCAGATAAAATTTGAATACTTAAAATTAAATAGTTTTAAACATTAAATTAGAATTAAAAATTAAAATTACAGATTAAGCATATCTGGGAAAACATGGTCCAGAAGTCAAGCAATGTAAGCCTCAAATATGTTTCACTACTTTCATGAATACTAATTTCTGGGGGAAGATTTTTTCCATAAGGATGGGTTGATTACTGAGAAAACCTACCTCTCAGCTGCCAACTGTTTAACCTATGGGAGGGGATACTCACCTTGATTGAACCCAAAGACAGTTAGATTCTGCCTGGAGAAAGTAATTCCAAAGTTAGTAAGGAGTTGGGCTACCTGGAATCTGTTGCGCTCATAATGTAGCAATCAGTGTTTAAGCGATTCTAACAGTATCTACCTATATTCAGGCAGCCATTCTATACCAGTTGAATTGTTAAGGTAATTAATATTTAATAGCTGACCAGCTGCTATAAGGCTGCTATAAATGCTGATGCAATGAGGATGAGTTAGCAGGGATATTGCCACTTTAAGGCTGACGATGGGTCCAAAGGATTATTGCTGTTTGAAGAAGCTGTCAATATAAAGGAGGCCATGAGAGGACGTATCTCTCTCTCCTCATGTTCTATCTCCATTGTAGTTCTCCATGCAGAGTAAAGAAGATTGATTGCCTGCCAGGTATTTGCCTATCACGTATATGTATGTATATAGCTGTCTTGTATATAAACCACTGTTAAAAGACAAAGCCTCTGTGTGCTGTGTTTTGCTCCTGGGTTGTCTCACAATAGTAGTCATGCTGCAAACACTCTGACGTGAAGTTTACAGGTAGAGCCCTGAGAGACCCATCATTACTGTTTAGAACTATTTGCTTAGGAAGGAGTAGAACTAAAGCAAAACAGGGGCACCAACCAGCAACTCTTGAAGTTGATGGTACCAAACACTGTTGAGTGATCTATAAGATCTAGGAGAGCTACAGTCCAGCCAGATCTTAACAAAACTCATGCGCAAGAGCAAAAAAAAAAAAAAAGATTTCCATAGCCTGGCTGAAACAAATAATTTACTTCAACTATGATACTCTACAACTGATGCTCTATTATGGTCTCTAAAATCTTTTTTTAAAAGTAGGGATGAAGATTATGTAGAAGTTATTCAACATGGTTGGAATGAGGGGTGGTTTATTCAGAAGTGGCATATTTTATTCAGAATATAGCTCAATTCTATCCTAACAATGAAACACTATTAGTCACCTTGTGAGACATTCCTTATGAGTCCTTGTTTGAGTCTTCCTGCTGACATGACAGAATTTTGTCTGCTTAGAAAGCAGTTCTGTCTCTTTATGTATAAGCATCTTCTGTATTTACTCCTTATTATTTCTTTGTGGACTACAAATTATATTTGGAAAAATGAGGAGGAGGAAGATGATGACACTTTACTAGAGAAGCAGGAGAATAGGTAATGGAGACTACAAGAGCAAATGGGTGGCTGTCACTTTAGATACATGCCAATTTTGTGCATTTAAAGTTTTGCACTGATATAATGCTATAACAGAGGACACTGGAACAATTTTCTGAAGGCTAAGATTGCAATATACTAATTTCCAGATGTTATCACAGCAGAAAGTACAATTTGGGTGTGTAGTGCAGGTATCTAGGGCATTTGTTTATCTGTAATGCTATAAGATAAGTTCAACTTGATAGAAGATGTAATGCTCTCCATCCCCATTTACTGAACATATAAACTGTCAGCAGAGACACATGAAGAACAGTGGCTATAAACTACAATTTCTAAGAGTCCAGCAGCTTGGACAATCTAATTAAAATGCAATCCTCCCAAACCTCACCTTGCACCAAAGAAAGCAGAAGCATAATACAGAGTAAATGAACTTTATTTGGTTCATTTCCAGCTGATCTCTCTGATTCCATGTTTTACATGATCAGTGTCACCTTACTCTGCAGGTGAATGGAGGACATAATGCCCTTTTAATGTTCTACAGGCTGAAATACTCCAGAGCCCTTCTCCATATGGGCTGGAAACATGATTAAATAAGGCAGTGAACAAGAAGCCAAAATGCTTCATGCAGAGTGTACATGCCAAGAAAGAAGATTGAAAAGGAAAAATGAAGCATAATGCACATCAAAAAGCTTATTTCAGCTTTATCTAGAGTGCAGTTAATAACGTGTGTGCCACTTCCATAAATACCAAATTAAAGAATACTTTATAAATTCAAAATGATGCATGGATTTCAAAAGATATTTACATATAGGTATACACTATATACATTTAGCCTGTGTGGAGGAAAAGCATGAGAAAGAAGGTGGAAGGGAAAGAGAACAGCAATAGCAATAGCACTTAGACTTATATAACTCTTTACAGCCCGCTCTAAGCAGTTTATAGAGTCAGCCTATTGCCCCCAACAATCTGGGTCCTTATTTTACCGACCTTGGAAGGATGGAAGGCTGAGTCAACCTTGAGCCAGTGAGACTTGAACTGTCAAACTGCAGTCAATTGGCAGTCAGCAGAATTAGTCTGCAGTACTGCATTCCAACTATTGTGCTCACAAATCTAGTCTTTAGAAGCTAGAAGTCAGGTAAAAGTCCAAATGGAGCACAAATCTATTTTGATTTTATTCAAGAATTGCTTTATTGAAAAATAAAAATTAAACAGCTCCCAGGCAGCCTTTATTTCTAATACACCATGCACCTCAGCCTATATATAACAACACTCTTTCGGAAGGTCCTGGAGACATGGTTCCAGGGATGGGATTCAAAATTTTTAACAACCAGTTCTATGGGCGTGGCTTAAGTGGTGGGCATGGCTTGGTGGTCATGTGACTGGGTGGAGGACATGGCTTGGTGGTCATGTTATTGGCTGGGTGTGGCCAACTCAATATCACTCACATCAAGACCCGCATCTCCTCACCTGGCCTCTCATGACCGTGGGGATGCTGCAACATTCGTAAGTGTGAAAAATGGTCATAAGTCACTTTTTTCAGTGTCATTGTAACTTGGAATGGTCACTCCACACAAGCAAAGTACCAGCAAAGGAGGAAAAAACTCCAGAGACGTTCCTGAGACAGGAAGTCTAGTCCTGCCAAGAATGTAATAAGAGTTAACGGAGAGGCGGTTTCTGTAAGCAATACCAGAATGTTTCCTTCCTGCCTTCCTTACAGGATTAGGCCAGTAATTTCTTC